ATTCCTGCTCATCCCTTCTCCCGTCCCTACCCCTCAGACCAGCCTTGCCATCCCACCATCCACCCCAAGCCTGCCCCGATGCTGGGAGATGCTCCGAGGTCACGCGCACTGCTCAGACCCTCTGCCCTTCCCAGGCTCTGCCCTGCAGCCCAGCTGCATTCCCACCCAATGGATCCAACCCTCGGAGGCTCAGCTGGGATGGGAGCTGCTGGGCTCCTGGGTACTTACCGCAAGGGGAACGAGAGCTCCAGTTGCTCGATGACCTGCGAGGCAAAGGAAGGGACAGGGCTTAGCTGGCCAGGGACATGCTCCACTGGGCAGGGGATGCTTGGGAGGACAAGCCATGGCTCTTACCGACTTCTGCGCATCAAACATCAAGTTTTTGTAGAACTGGATGAAGTGGGAGAAAGTCATCTCGTTCCTGGCTTCCACCTCCTGCCAGAAAGGGTGATAACATGAGAGCAGGGCCACCCAACTGGAGTCAGTGACACTGGGGCCAGTCCAGCCTGGCTGTGGGGGCTTGAAGACCTTCTCCATGCATAGTAGGGGTGCCCAGGGGGAGCCTTACCACAAGTTTGTCCCGCAGGAACCTCATGTTGGGAACGCGGTAGTTCACCTGGGGCAGCATGGCCTTCAGGTCCTTCACCGTGATGCTGTAGGAGGATGAGCTGGCCTCAGGGCGCTGGCCAGACCCCACAGACAACCCCCAGCTCCTGACACCAAGGGTCCCACCCCAAATTCTGGTGCTAGCATGCTCTCTGGTGTGGGGTTCCCACCCTACTGGGCTGTGGACCCCCAGAGTGGCACAGGACCCCTAATGGTGCGAGTGTGAGCAGAGGGTCACGGAGAGGGAGTGCGCCCAAGAACCAACTGGGTGCTCTAAGCCATCATCGCATCTGGACGTGATGCCCATCCCTATCCGTGTAATCATTGAAGTCCAAATTCACTTGATTTGGGGTTTTTCTTGACTTGGAGAGATGTTTATGGGCTGCATTAATGGTCCAGCCCTTCCTGGCACGGGTGGAAATGGAGCAGTGGGCATGGGGGCATCATGGCAAGGAGGGAACTTGTGCTTGAGCCTGATTTTTGGTGCCTTTGAGAACCCCAAATAACTTGGTACTACCTTGTCCCACCAACCCCGCTCCCAGCCTGGCTCAGCCTCCAGATTTGGGGTGAAACTGGGGGGACATGGCCCTGTCCAGCCAAACCCACCAGCCACTTCCCAACACAGGGCCATGACAGTGCTCACCTGCCTTCCCGTGACCGGTCCATCCCATCAAATTGTTTCCTCAGCCACCTGGGAAGGAAAGGATGGACAGACGACGCTCAGCCCCGGGAGGGGGACTGGGAAAAGAGCCCCATTGGCTCTTCCTCACCTCTCGATCTGCAGCGGGGTCTGGGCTTTCTGGGTGTCCGCCACCAGCCAGTTGAGGCCCGTTATCCACAGGTTGATGTCCTCCTCACAGAAAGCTGGAGGAGGAAGAGGAGGGTGATGAAGTTAGGATGGGGGAGATGGGATGCTGGGGATGGGGTGAGAGCCTGCAGGTGGCCAGAGGGAGGAGGGAGCCCACGCACCGGCCACACTGAGTGTCCGCAGCCTGAAGTCCATCCCGTAGAGGATGATGAAGCACATGGTGAAGTCAAGCTTGCGAGCGTCCTCAGGGTAGCGCTCAAAGTCCCGTGAGTTCTTCCCCAGGCGGATTTCCTTGATCTCCCGAATGTCAACTGCAGGGAGAGAGGGACATGGGACTGTCCCCAGCCTGTCTGTTACCACGGACCCACGTGTGGGGCTTGGGGAGGTTGCAAGAGATGGGACTGCCAGGAGACCACATGCCCTCTGGGAAGCCTTTTCCCCAGGATGGGATGTCCACATGGCACTGCCCATGAGTGTGTGATGATATGGTGGGTGCTCTAGGAAGATATGTCCCCGCTGGCACCATGGGTATTGCACGTCCTTCAGGGAACCGTGTGCCCAGAATGGGGCATCCCTGTGGCACTGCCCATTGGTGAAAGATGGCATCATAGGAGCCATGGCCATGTGTCCTCCAGGGAGCCACGTCTGCATGATGGTGTGTCCCTGCAGCACTGTTGCAGTTGCATGACAGCGCCATGGGTGCCATGGCCATGTGTCCTCCACAGAACCATATCCCCAGGACAGGGCATCCCTGCAGCACTGCTGCAGCTATGTGATGGTACCATGGGTGTCATGGCCATGTGTCCTCCAGGGAGCCATATCCCCAGGTCCTTGCAGCTCTTCCCCGAGACGTGTGATGGCACACTACTGCTATGTGTCCTCCAGGGATCCATGTCCCCAGGATGTGGCATCCCCGCAGTGCTGCCCACCGGTTTCCCGGCTTCGTGGGTGCCACGTGTCCTCCAAGCTCAGCCAGCCTCATCCCAGCCAGCATAACTCCGGCCACCTCTCCCCTGCCTTCTCCTCCCAGAGACAGACCCTGCTCTGGGGCAGGCTGAGCTCATCTTTTAATTGAAGACATCTGCCCAAAGGTGGCAATTTGGAGCCCTGGCAGCCCGGACCACAGGGCGTTTCTTTCCTGCTGTGCTGCTCTCTCATTATCTTGCTATATAAAGCCCCGCCGGCGGCGGGAGGGCTGGGTTTCCGGATCACTGTCTTCCTCACTGCTACACCGCTGGGGGAGATTTCCAACCCCTGGTTTTGCCGAGTGGACACGTCCCGCCGGGAGCAGAAAAATAATATGATGATATTAGCAATAACACCCAAAGTTGTTCTCAATACCATGAACATCACCTCTGGGAAGCTTTGCCCTCCAGGGCTGAGCCGCCAGCACCGGAAAGGCCTTTGTGCGGCCAAGGGCGGCCAGACCACCGCACCAGGGTATTGTCCTGCCGAGGAAATGGGTCATTTCCCGGAGAATTTCCAGCCCGGCCGCGTTTCCGATGCGGCAGTGAGGAAGGGTGCAGACGTGCCTGTGCCTCGACAGAAACCCTCAGCCTAATCCAAAAGGGATAAAGAAAAGCCGAACGTGGGAAGGAATAAGGGATGGGGGAGAAATCGGGCTCATTAAGCAAGAAAAGAGGTGCAGAATAGTTTTTCTTGGCGGAAAAGCTCCAGAAAACACTGGAGGCTTTATCCAGCCTTCCCTTGCTGGACTACCGCAAGCCGAATTTCACGAATTGGAGTGGGATTTTAGCACAAGCTATACATAGGAGTTCTGCACCCCTGCGTGTGCTTTGTTTTGGGACTGGATTTCAAGAAATGAAACCCTGCTGCTGTCTCCGTGCAGCCTCCATGGCTTGGAGGAAACCCACTTTGGTACAAACAGGCAGATATTTGGGGTAAAAAATGGGTTTATAGGTTAAAAACAAGCTGCTCATCCCCAAAGCTGCCCATCCACGGCGTGCTGGAGAGGGGCGAGATGCTGATGACTACCAGGGCTCTGCCAACAAGTCCCAGTGCAGCCATTCCCCTGATTCAACAGTGCTGGGATCTGGCCTTGGGTACGACCTCTGGGCACTGCCAATAATCATAGAATCATCAAATGTTTTGGGTCAGAAGGGACCTTTAAAGGCCATTTAGTCCAACACCCCCCTGCAATGAGCAGGGACATCTTCAGCCAAATCAGGTTGCTCAGAGCCCCGTCCAACCTGACCTTGAATATTTCTAGGGATGGGGCGTCTACCACCTCTCTGGGCAACATGTGCCAGTGCCTCACCACCCTCATCATGAAAAAATTCTTCCTTAGACCTAGTCTGAATCTCCCCTCTTTTAGTTTAAAACCATTCCCCCTTGTCCTGTTGCTACAGACTCTGCTAAAAGGTCTGTCCCCATCTTTCTGAGGAGCACAGTTTAAGTATTGAAAGGCCACAGTAAGGTCTCCCCGCAGCCTTCTCTTCTCCAGGCTGAACCACCCCAACTCTCTCAGCCTGTCTCCATAGCAGAGGTGCTCCAGCCCTCGGATCATCTCCGTGGCCTCCTCTGGACTCGCTCCAACAGCTCCATGTCCTTCTTGTGCTGGGGACCCCCGAGCTGGACGCAGTACTGCAGGGGGGCAGAATCCCCTCCCTTGACCTGCTGGTCGCACTGCTTTGGATGCAGCTTGAGATATGGTTGGCTTTCTGGGCTGTGAACGCACAGACTGGGCTCATGTCCAGTTTTTCATCCCCCAGTACCCCAAAGTCCTTCTCCGCAGGGCAAATAGCCCAGCCCCATGAAGAGCCGGGGGAAGAGGGAGCGGCGCAGGGCTGCACAATGCAACGCAGCCGGCGGCTTCCTGGAAACCACATCTGCAGCGGATTTGCAGCGATCATGTCAGAACTATGTCTCCAAACTCCTCCCTGCATTGTCTCAGGGGTCCCGGGCGACTATAACACTCTGGAAGTCGGTTCCAGCTGCGAAAATCCCTTTTCTCTTCTAATGCAAAGTGAGCAGCGTGGTGCAAAGAAGGTTTTAGATATAGGGATGGTGGGAAGAGGATGTAGGACCAGGGTCTGCCCGGTGGTTTTTAGGGATGCTGTGAGCCTGGGAGTTTTCTTATTGCATTAGGAGAAAAGTAAAGCAAAGCAGCTGGAGGGAATGGTTGTGCTGGGAAATCTAGCTGGCCCAGATGGAGCTGTGGTGGCACAAGCCGTGTCCCCTCATGTTCACCTCGGTCCTTCCTTCTGGCGGGACATGGGGCAGTTCAGACCCTCCCATCTTGGGGGGGATAGGGTGGCCGCATCCCCCAGGGCTCCTCATGCTGTTGTGAAGCTGATTTAAAACCTGAAATAAAATATTTCCTCCCAGTCCAGCAGTGTTAAACCCCATTTGTATTTTCTCCTCCCCAAACAGTCCTATTTCTAATTATTTGCTGTTAGCGAGGCTGGAGGTGTGATCCCAATTAGGCTTTGTTGTAGCAAACCACCCCTCTGAAATGCTCTTGGGTTTGCCAAGCTGCCTTCACCCCTATTTCTTTTCATTTCTTGCAAAGATCCATTTTGGGCTGTTTTCCACTAGACTTCATCCTTGCACTGGGCACCGGGGTCTGACGAGGGCAATGAACTGGAAACCCTCCAGGATGAGGTTAATTTTGGAGACGATGCTACAGGCGACCCCATTGGCACGGACACTCGTCCATCGGCTGCTTAACGAAGCATGTAATTAGCCTGCATGGTGCCGGGAGTCTCGGGGAGACCCAGGATCCGTGTCCTGGCCCTGCCAGTCTGTAACAGAGACATCAGCGCTGTCGGTTGTCCCCGCTAATCCCTCTGCAAGCAGGGTGCCTGGTTGACAGGGGGATTTAAAATGGCCCAGGCAGGCGTGAGGTTGGGCACGGGGTGGGAGCGAGACCCCAGGGATGAACAGGAGATCCTAGCGCTTCCATAAAATTATGGCGCACGGGAGGATGTGTGAGCACGGAGAAGGGCTGGCCCAAGGGGTGAAGATGCTCCAGCCCAACACCAAGACCGGGATTGTTCTCACCCAGGGCTGGGGGAAGCGGGTGATGGGGTTGGATGGCAGGATTTTACCATTTCCAGAGGAATTTTTCTTTTTTTTTTTTACCCCTTCTGGATGACCTCAGAGGATGCCCACTTATTCCTGTGGGGGATTTTGGGCCATCGCATGGGAGAAGCCAGATCCCAAGGCACCAGTGGGAAAACTGAGGCAGGGCATCAGAAGTGACCCAAGACCCCGACCTGGTAGCGCATGGTGCTCCCAAAGAAAAACAAGGAGCCGGAAACATATTATTTCCGTGAGGGGAGAATGAGCTCTTCCCTGCGAGAACCAAAACCACCTCTCCAATAGTGGGTGCCCTTCCTCCCCTCACCCATCCCTCCTCCTCCTTCTCCCACAAATCTGCTTCCCCCCAAGGGCTGGTGGCAAGTTAACCTCCCGTGCCCAGCAGGTCTGGACAAACACCGATCCTGCTTGTGCCGATGCCTATCTCTGGGTGCCACCCTCCTTCCCAGCTCAAAGCCTCACCATGGCCAGCAGTCCGGCTTGTGGTCGACCCCTCCGAGTAGGAACTGAACCCTCGTGTGGATTTTGCTCTGTCTCACGCAAAATTAGCAGTGGGTGGTGATTTTTGGGTGGGTGATAGGTGATTTTTTAATGACACCATCTGAGCCCTCCCAGGGATAAGGCAACTGTCACCTCCCAAACCTCCAGGAGGTTTGCCATCGTCCAGGTGAGATGATACCCCAAAAGTGGGTTCCTCCCCAAATAGGGCTGTGGAATGAGGTGATGGCTCTGTCTCACCCCAACCCTGTGTTTTCATCCATTGGCTGTTTTTAGCTAAATTTAAGAGGAGGTGCAAGTCTTGAAGTCATGAGCGACAAGGTAACGAGCACCAAGACATGGAGCCCCATCGATGCCTGGCAGTGGGAGTATGCCCCAACAGCCTACTAGCCACCAGCGTATCCACAAGGAAGGGTGATTTTTATGGATGCTCCAGTGGGAGCATCTCCTGTGCTGGACCCTAGTGTCACCAGTCCCTACCAGTTCAGATGCCATCCAGATTTTGCACTGATGTCATTAATGCACATGGGGCAGACCCCAGCTGGTCAAGTCCTCTCTGGGCTGCATGGGGCCACCACCATGCTCCACCCCATGCTGCTGCCTGCCCTGGCAGCCTGAACACCCCATTTTTGGGGTTAAAAGCACCGTAAGCAGGCAAGGTGGTGGCTGGCTCCTTTACCTCCTTGCCAGGGAGGGTATAAAACCCTGGGGATGAAATGGCAGCAGCTTGATGCCCATGGCAACTTATGGGTCACACGAGCTGGGATGGAGGAGGCAAGGGTTGCTCAGCCCAGAACTCCAGCATGTCTATATCTGGGCATCACACCATGGCCAGGCACCCCACCATGGTAGGGCATCCCACTACAGCAAGGCATTCCACCATGCCTGGGCATTCCACCACAGCAGGGCACTCACCGCATCTGGGCACTCCACCATGGCCAGAGAACCCATCGTGGTAGGGCATCCCACTGCAGCTGGGCACCCTACTAATTCCAGGCACTCCAACGGATCTGGGCACCCAACCGTGGCTGGGCACCTCTCCAAGGCTGGGCACTGCACCGTGGCTAGGTATCCCACCATGGTAGGGCACCAAACATGGCCAGGACCCCACTATGGCTAGGCACCCCACTATTTCCAGGCACCCTACCACAACCAGGCACTCTACGACAACCAGGTACCCCATCACTGTGGCTGGGCATCCCACCATGGCCAGACACCCCATTGCAACCAGGCATCCCACTATGCCGAGGCACCCCACTGCAGCAGGCACCCTACCACAGCCAGCCACCCCACTGTGGCTGGGCATCCCACTACAGTAGGGCACCCCACCAGAGCAGGGCATCCCACCACAGCCAGGCACCCCACTGCCAGGTACCCCATCAGGTCTGGGCACCCTACAGCCAGGGAGCCCACTGCAGCTGGACATTCCACCACAGTAGGACACCCCATCATGGCTGGGCACCCCACAACCAGTCACCACACCATGGTAGGGAATCTCACCATGACCAAGCACCCCACATCCAGGCACCCCACCACAGTAGGACATCTCACCACAGCCAAGCACCCTACGGCCAGGCACTCCACCATGGGTGGGCATCCCACCAGCACATCCCCAGCTCCCTGTGCCACTGCCACCGATACTCACTGTCCCCCTCCACTTTCTCAGGTGTCCGACTCCAGATGATCTGCCGGGTCTCCAACTTCACCTGGAAGGTCCTTCGCTCTGGCCTCTGTGACTTTTTCTGATAGAACAAGGTGAGGACGGTGCCCATCTCCAGGCAGCGGAGGATCCTGCCCATGTCCCCTGCCTCCATCCTGCCGTCCTCCAGAAAGCCATTGACGCTGTTGAGCCTGGTCACAGACATCTTCACTACACGGCCATCGCCCGGCGGAGCCGCAGAGCCGGGGTTGTCTCATGCAGGAGAGGACAAACCAGATAGCCGAAACCTCCCCAGGGATTTTCTTTGCTCGCCCCGGGCGTGGGTTTCCTCTACGGCCGACGTCTCCTCCGCCGCACCACGGCCACGGCACGGAGCCGGGCTTGGCGGCAGCGGGGAGGAAAAGGGTGGGCTGGAGGTACTGTGACCTTCTCGCCGAGGTTGAATCCGGCCCCGGCGTTGGCATCCAGCAGCAGTGGGAGAAGATGGGCAGCGCCAGTGGCGATGGCCTTGCGGTTCAGAGCCAAGGGGGAGAAAAACCATCCGGCCACCACAGGATGGCAGGGGCACGTCTGCGAGTAAAAAGGGTGGTGTGGGGGAAAACCCAGCCAAAAAAAACCCCAAAAAAACCGCAAAGTCACCCCAA